ACTCAATAGATAGTAGAGTATTAGTGGAACTTAATTTTGAGATAATGAGATGGTTTTCTCTTAAGTGTGATTCTTTAGTCTTTTGGTGGGTAAATGATTGACCAAATAGCTAGCAGTAAAATCAAGTTCTCCCCAATATTGTTTTGGGACATTTTTATGGAGAAGAGAAGCTTGAGTTACATTTATAAGGTGCCCAATTTATCATTTTTCCACCCACTCTTTGGCATTATCTAAATGGACTGTTCTAATGGTTGTCTCAAACTTATTTTTAATCATTTGAATGAAGTTTTTGAAAACTTGGATCACTTCACTTTCTTGTTTCAAGAGAAATGCCCATGATTACTCAAGTGCAATCATCAATAAATAAGCAAACCAACAAGCCCCAAACAAATTGGGAATACTAGATGGCCCTCACACATCACTATGTGTTAATGGAAAGGGAACAACCATTCTTTTATTAATAAAGGGAAATACAACTTGCTTATGTTTTGCAAATTCCCAAATATCATAATGAAACATTTGTATGTCAACTTGTTGAAATAAACTAGGAAATATAATTTTTGGGGTACTGAATGATGGGTGACCTAAATAGAGATAGTAAAATCAGGTTTTTTCTTTAATAGAGAGAGTGATTTCTCACAACAAATACAAAGGAAGTTGACTCTTAGTGTTGTGCATACTCTGGAAGGTAGAATTTATTGTCTTCCTTAACAAGTCCGATCATCTTACCCATTTCCTAATCCTGAAATTGTCAGGTTGTAGGATTAAAAAACACCAAACAATGTAAATCCATTGTAAGCTTGTTACAGAAGTCAAATTAGCAAATAATTTGGGCACATGTAAAACATCCTTCCAAATTAGATTCTAGTTTATCATATTATCTTCTTTTCTAGCAATTATAACGAAAGTTCCATTTCCAAGTACAATTTTTCTATTGCTTGAACAAGGTCTATAAGATATAAACCCAGTAGATGATTGAGTCATGTGGTCTGTGGCTCCAAAATCAACTAGCTTGACACCTTTATAGGAATTTAATGTGTTGCATGGGAGTAAGGAATATTACCTGCAAATGCTAAGGAGCAATTGCCTAAGTTTGAAAGTTTTATTAACGTGTCCAACAACCCCTTTAATTTCATAATCTCCTTTGTGTTAACCTGTTGTAGGTTATGAATAATTGCCTTCAACTGAGCCTATTTATGACATATGAACTTTAGTATATCCTCCGCATTGATTTCCTTTAGGTGTCCAATTTTGATTTGGATTAGAGGCTTCCCATGAAGTTTCCAGGATTTGTTTTGAGTGTGTTGCGACTTCTTACAATAAGTACACCAAAGGGAGACTTTATTATCCCCTTCAGCTATATCTATTCCTCCTACTTCATTTTCAAATGGAGTGATCTGCCCTTGTCCAACTTTCTTCCCCTTGTTTTGTACAAGCAAGGTTGAAAAGTCAGTTGATTGGGGTTCTAACATTACTCCTCTACAGACTTCTTTTGCCTGAAACACAGCCACTGTCTCATTGAGTGAGGATAAGTCCTTCCCTAGATTCTAACAAGGTCAAACTCATCGTTTAATTGTGTCAGGAACTTGTAGATTTTGTCGTTCTCCATGTAGCATTTGAGTAGGTCAACATCTTCATTACATTTTGCTTCAAATAGCTCATAATGGTCTAACTCCTGCCACAAATTTGTAGTGTATGGGCATACTCCTTGAATAAGTAATCCTCTTGTTTTGTATTATAGATTTGGGCAGCATCACCAACTTTGGAGTAATTTTCTTTACAGTTATCCCATATCTCCTTAGTTGTCTTCATAAACATGTAACCATCACTCACCTCTGTTGTCATGGCATTCCACAACTATGATGGTACAACCGCATTTGCCTCGTCCTAAGCTGCAAATTTGGGATCTAAAGACTATGGAGGGTTGTCATTGAAATTAAAAGGTTTGGACAAAGTGAGACCATTTTAGTCATTTTTCCCATTAAGCCTAAGCCTTAGTTGAATAATTTGCAGTTCAACAATACCCAAATTCTCTGACTGCTTAAGGGTTCTCTGAGTATTGGACATTTTTGAGGTTTGAAGTGTGGAAATACAGGCGTAGAAGGAATACAGTGGAATAAAGAAACGGTTGTGGTATTACAGCAATGTAGGCTTCACAGATGAATACAGCGTAAAAAAGAAAGGGGTGTGGTTTTGCAGCATTCCAAGCTGTGCAATATCACACAGGCTCCCAAGGATTTTAGAGTGTTGATATTCAAAGAAAAGTTGTTTCTGATTAATATTAAAAAATGAGCGATTGCTCTTAAATAGAATACAGAAAACTTAATGACAGAAAACCCAAATATATGATAAACACAATCTATCCCTATAATTCACGACCAATGGTCCTGTATATTAAATCAAAAATATATTGTCAGCCTATTAATCCTTCTAATTAAGGAATGCAATTAAATCTCCTAATTATGTAATTAAAACGGCACAAGGAAATATTATCTGCAGCATAAATCAAAAGAGGGTGACACTTACATCTTTATCTGAAGGCAAAGGTAACTCATCAAAAATTCCCATGTCGAGTCTTCAGTGTCACCACACACCATGAAGGTATGGGATTAACTTGTTCCAGCAAACCCACAACTTTAACTGAAATGCGTGAATATAAATTAAAACAAATAAAAAGAAAAGTTAATATTGCTTTAACATAAAAGTCAGGTACCATCTACCAAAAACACACAATTGCACTAAAATAAGAATTCGCTAGACTTTAACTGGAAACGAACCGTGAAAATTCTTAAGCAAACTTGTGTAATATTAAAAACAACACTTCAACTTGCGCACTAGTCTCTAGACAACAAAACATAGTTTAAAAACTGGAATAGCAAAATCGGAAACTTTTGACCGAAAATGATATATGCACAATATAATGACAACTCTCCCCGTCATTCTGCAACAGCCAGAAAACACAGCAACAGATTTCCGTTCTTAAGTAAACATATTTATTTTCAGTGCAGTTTCAGACAATTATTAAAATTCAATAGGCAGCAAACTCCAAATAAACTTAATCCAGCACAGCATTGAAAGAGCCAAACAACAAACGTACAATTACGCATCCTTATTATCATTTCTGTGGCGATGTTAACTAAAACACCAAAAACACGATTCAACAACTATGAACAGAGGCAGATCCCTGATTTTCGGCTCACACGATCACTTCAGTTGAGCTCTTTAGCAATTCACTCACACGAAACAGACTACGCGGTGCGATAACACAAAAGCATTTGACAATTCAGAGTGAAAAAAACCCAGGAAAAACACGGTAGCAACAATTCGGAATACACATTAAGAGTTGAAAAATCATCGGAAAATGAAGCTCGAAATCGAGATTGAGCGTACGCGGTGAATCGAAGGTTTTGTGAATCGAACCTGCCAGCTGAAGGAATGAATCAGAGACGAACAATTCAGAGTGATGACGACGGAGGGAGGGTGGAGGGCGCGTGAGAAACAAACACTAAGCCTACGGAAAGCAAAGGTGAATTAATATGATTGACTGGTATTAATATTATTTTTTATCTATGACTAGTATTTGTTTGTGTTTTATTTTGTGTTAATAATAAAGAAAATTGATATTTTTTAAATACTCTACATGTGTTATAATGTGACATTTTATATTACATCAATACTATTCTAACAATAAAACAACATATTAAAATTTGGATGACTAAAAATATACAAAACTATTTGGAGGGATGAAATTCAACATAAAATTTTTTTGGAGGAAAAAGAAGTTTTTAATAAAAGTATTTCAATGATATTTAAAAAAAATTGTAACCTCTCAAATTAAAAAATACAACTTTTAGTTCCTCTAACATATTATCAGCTAAAAGTCTTTGGAAACTTATTTTAACCTTACAAATGTATACCATTGTTTTTCAAATTTATGAAACTAAAAATACCTTTTTACAAAAAAAAAAATTAAAAAAAAAATAAAAGAGATCAAAGTCATTTTAAATTTTAAGGACTAAAAATAAATTAAGGTAAAAGGTATTATTATTAAGTAAAATAAACAAACACTATTCAATTGTTTTTTCTTCAGAATTTTTAAAAACAATATTAACTATAATAAAGTTTACAAACATTATATTATAATAAAACATCGCATCAATTATTTAACTTTTGAATCTTTTCTTAATATTGTCTTATTGACCTTAGTTATAAGATAACATGTATTATGTAAGAGACTTTTTAATATACATTAAATATTAAATAATACAATAACTTAATGAACTCTTGTTTTTATCTTACTTTGGCAAATATTATTACAAGAAAATAACGAATAATAGAGTTAAAAAAAGTGAAAGCATCTCGCACTCATTTATAAAATTGTTTGCACATTTTATCAGTCTATTAAATATGTAATATTATACTGCCTCGAAAAAAAAAGTTTTAAGAATGCCAAAACGATTTAATTTTGTTAAATTTTAACAAAAATATGTTATATTGACTTTTAAAAACCCTTTTATGTGACAGATGAATATGTCATTAAAAATATAATGAAGAAGTAAAATACACTAAATTAAAAAATGCAATAGTTAAATGTCTTAAAAAAATTAAATAGTTGAATTCGTAAAATCACAGCGTGCTATAATTTTTAATACTTTCAATTAAAACTCAATCATTTCGTTTGTACTTTGAATACTTAAAAAAAATATTTTTATTTAGTTGTACTGACTACAAATTTTTATATTTTTTATTGTCAATATTAATTGCATTTTATATTTTTTAGCGTCAAAATTACAATTACATCAACCAATGAAAAAAAATTGTAAAACAGAAATCAATTGAAAAATATAAATATTAACAAATGAATCAGTTGAAAACATATATATATTTATGACAGACTTAACTTAATTAAGCCTAATAGCATTGATTAAATAGTAGAAATACATAATCAAATATAATGAAATTTATTAGTATAGTTTGATGAGAGCTTATTGGACATGATAGCGACCTTAAATGTCGACTTTTACTAAAATAGGAAGTTTCAAGAATTACAAACTTTATGGTGAGAGACAATAGCAGAAACTGATTCCTTCTATAATCCTCGCATAACATCAATAGACAATTTACAACGTTTCATATACCGACAGATAATAAACAAGCATACTACAAAGTTTCTGCAAAAGTTTGCCACCCCATTACTGGATTCAAAACATAAAGAATGAAAACACTATTATCAGGTGGCCATGGTTCATACATGCATAATTCTCTGATCATCTACGATAAATATATAATGAGGTAACACCGAGGCTAAGAATTCCGCAGATTATCATCCCCTTCTATTCGCTGCAAGAGTTCTATTATGCTTCCAGCTTTTCTCTTCGCTCTATCAGTTCCATTTTCTGATAACTCCTGCAGTGCTGCTTCGGCACCGTGTTCTTTTGCTAGTTTTAATAGCAGCGGATCTCCGGTGCATAGTGACCACAAGACGGCGGCAGCATTCTCTCTGTTGCGTGGAGAGCCGGTTCGTATAACCTCAACTAGAATAGGGATCGGTCCGGCCTGACCAATCGCCACCCTGCCTTCATGGTGGCTTGCAAGAATTGCCAATATAGCTAGTGCTTCATCTACCATTCCACCCCCAGCATCCTTCAGAAATTGTATCAGCGGGCCTACTATACCAGCCTTTACAGCTCTTGCTTTGTTTCCCTGATAAATAGATAGGTTAAAAATTGCAGTAGCAGCATCCTTCTTACCTCTGGGAGTACCTTCACAAAGTAACTTTATAAGGGCGGGGATTGCTCCAGCTGCACCTATTTGCACCTTGTTCTCGTCCAGTACTGATAAACTAAAGAGAGTTGCAGCTGCATTTTCTCTAGCCTCCATGCTTCCCTTTTTTAGAACATCTACAATATCTGGTATGGCTCCGGCATTTACAATAGTTCCTTTGTTACTCTCATTGATGGAAAGATTGAGAAGCGCTGTAACGGCATGCTCTTGGGTTCGAGGGTCTGAAGAAGACAACAAATCTACAAGGGGCGGTATTGCTCCGGCCTCAGCAATGCACACTCGATTATCTGCATTCCTCTTAGCCAGCAACCGGAGCTCACCAGCAGCTGCCCTTTGCTGCTCTATGTTGTTACTCGCCAGTTTATCAAGTAAGGCACTGATAGCAGTTCGATCACAATCTGAATGACTGCTTCCACCACATTTCTTTGTTCTACAACTCCCTTGTTTTTTTGGTAGCTCAATACCATTGCTTTCACACCACAAAGCAATCAGACTCTTCAGAACATAGTTCGGGGTAAGGGCTGTGTGGACAAGTGTCTGCTGTGTCTTGGGGCAGGTTTTGTGACCCGCATCAAGCCATTTTTGAATGCAAGATCTTTCATATGTCTGTAAAAGTAAAGAAGAATTTATAAATGATATAACTTACACCATACAGCAGTACCATGTACAAAGACAACGTCAGATTGTACCTGACCAGTAGAGACAATAACAGGATCTTTCATTAGTTCAAGAGATATAGGACATCGAAAATCATCTGGGATCACGGGAGACCTGTGCTTAATTGTTAATTTTTCACATTCACTTGTGTCGACTTCGGGATTTTCTGTGAGCACACAGTCCCTCAGCTTGCTAAGAAGGGATGTGATCATTTCAAAAGAGTCTCCTAGTTCTCCACCATTTGTGATCAACAATTCATGTAATTCACTAGACTCTTTCCTTAGGTCATTTATTGTCCTCAGATGCAACTTCTCAGAAAGCCTTTTTAGTATAGCAGGATCAGGGTCTTTTTCTTTTTGTGCCATTGCCATATCCATGTCAAGTTGTATATCAGCAAATTCTGTTTGAGCTTTAGCTCTTTTGAATTGAGCATGTACCAGTTGAATCTGAAGACAATGAAAATAGTTGTGAAAAATATGGCACATAAGATGCTGCCTTCTCTTCGCCAAAAATATCACCCAGAAATTTAAAAGCACGGAAATCAAATATGATTAGTGGAAAGAAATGATAGGAATTTGAACCATCGTTGAAATGTATATGGTATTGCTGGTCTCCTTCCAATATATGATAAAGGTTTACCTGTTCTCGAACTTCCTCTGATATCTCAAGTTTGTAGTAAGGAATTTCACTCAGCGCAGCTTCAATTTTTTCAGTTACTTGTTGGAATTTGTCTGCTGTATCATTCCTCCTCAATGCCTGAGACATGTAAACCATTAATCAGATTAAAATTAACAGTCGGGATCAACTAAGATGTTAGGTGACAAAACTAAACCAGAAGGCATACAGCATCTGCAGATGCTATAATCTCTTGCTCTATGGACACACTTCAAACCCACTTAAGCCCAAATGTAAAACTATCACGCTAATGTCACTTGAGCAAATGAATTTATATAGCTTGATCATAATTTCTAAATTTAAGGGGTTGGTTTAGATTTTCTGCATATAAATAATTGTACAGATCACTCGACAGTATGCAAGAAAAATTATTTCTGTCACAATATGGTGTAGAGTGTTCATATCCACCATGAAAAGTGGTTTTTCATTCCTATGCATAGGACCCTCGAAGCTTCTCTTTTCCTTTTTCAGCTTTTTTGCCTTCTCTCATACAAACCATGGCCTCATTCTTTGCTTTGTTCCGGACCGATCAACTACTCCAAGGGGTGACCACCGCATCTGTATATTGCCTTAAGGTCTCTTCCGTACATCTCATGGAAACTCTTTAGGACACCAAAATCTTAAATGTTGCTTTAGTTCAAGATTTCTCAGACTGTTTTCCTATCTCGACTATTCTTGAAAATTAGTTTACGTTTATTTGGACATTGTGTGCTTTCACCCTTAGTAGTAGTAAAGCATTGACATTCTTTTTTGTTTTGTTTCAAACTTAAATGATGGTTAAGCCTCTCTTTCTCGTCTGATGATGTTGATGGCTTCTGCAAAATGGTTTGAGAATGAAGGTAGATTCTGCTTAAGTGTTTAGTTTGGTTAGATTAACTATTTCAAGGAACTTAAACATAGCAAAGACCTTCCCAGTGTTATCAAGACCTCGTCTGTGTGTTACAGGGATCAACTTGACAAGCTAGATGCATATGATACATATGCTTCTTCAACTTGAAGGGGGACTGTTTAAGATATATTGAGATACTATCCAATAATTCTCCTGATTCTGTTTCTCTGTTTCCGTGTTTCTTTTTAGTTTGTTTGGATAGTTTGATCATATCATTTAGCTTCCTTAGCTTTGTCATAATGCCTAAACTTCAGAAAGTGTTTTAGATTGTTTGTACATAAGAAATTCTATAAATGGCTTAACGACATAGAAGAGACATTTTTCCTTCGACCTCTTTACAATCGCCTACAAAAGCAAAAAATACACGAAATTCAACCCTTGGAAAGATTCACCAAAACCAGAAAGCCATACCTGATATAGCTTGCTCCCTTGGTTGACAGACTTTAAAAGGGTCTTAGCTGAATCCAAAGCAACCAAGAGAGACTCGAAGCTCTCGAGTAGTTCATCGCTGAGGGACTCATCACTATCTTTCAATTCCTCAAAGAGAGGACTCAGAAGCTTCACCCTGCGAACCAAATTCCCATACACCCTCTTGCAAAAGTTCTGACACTCTGGCAACCCAGAAATCTCCTTGATGAACTCAACCAAACGACCCAAAACCACGCCTTTCGAGCTCTCGCTCCCGCCCATGTTGAGAAAAAGTCAAAGCAGCAAACTCTGACCACAAGATCGAAGGTGCCTATGAGCTGGGAGGTGATTGATGGTACCCAGATGAGGGAATTACGGGGAAATGATCGAAAAAGGAAGAATCACCGTGGAGAATTGAAGCCCACCTATACCATGAGCTGAAAGAGAGTATTGTGTTTCGTTGCTTGAGAAAGAAATGAAATTGGCAGATGGTGGAGGATGAAATGAAAGTATAGTAATCGAATTGAAATGGGAATGGTTGACCTTTTCGGAAAGGTCTTTGCCTGGTTCATAGGTAAGAGGTGAGACAGCAATCATGAGAGAATCAACTATGGTCTCTCTGTCCTTACGCCAAAATGTCTTTTCTTTTAATTTTTACCCTCTGATATTTGGAGTGCTGTTTTTTAAAAAATAAAAATAAATTAATAAAACAAATCCTGTGACACTTAGATATTTAATAAAGAATAAGAAATTTCTTGAAATTTAATAAAATTATTAGAATATTGAGGTGATGAAATTTTTATAACTTATAAAATGTTGTCTTTATGTATACATTCAAGCAAATTTCCACGAATTAGTTTTTAAGGATACATTTCATGAATTTCATACATTTTTTATTAGATGAATAAAATACAAAAGTGGCGTATAAAAATAAAGTATAATAAATAATAATTTATAATTATATTAATTAAGACAAACATTATATTGATTATAGTAATTACAGTAATATTATATTATAAATAAAAATTGATACGATGATTAAAATGATAGGATATTAAATAGTAATTATAATAATATTATACAATAAATAAAAATTTATATTGTGAAAAATTAAAATTAAGAGTAATAAATGATAGGATATTGAACAAAATATTTGATTTTATCTAATTCTCTGATGAAAATTTAGAAAGATAGATTCATTTTTTTCAAAATATATCTAGGTTGGAATGATAATAAGTAATAAATTTTGATAGAATTAGTTTTCTGAATTTTAGTGAAAAAAAAAGGTGAGAATATGAAAGGTGAAATAAAAGAATTACTCTTTCCAAAGAAGACAACACACAAGATAGAAAAATCTTTTTTATACAGCTAAAGGTTCTTTAATTACTCAAAAAGATAGGAGAATCACTCTCACTAATAAATAAAACTTTAATATTTTTTAATAAAACTCAATTGGTATTCATTTGATTAGAATGGTTTAAACCATTACAATTAGAAAAAATTATTAATTACATTCCACTTAAACTAATAATTATCTCATTAAGCTAATAATGATCCACTAAGTTATAATAATGATTTCAATAAGCTAATGATTGTTTGTAACTAAAAATTGTGGTAATAAAAAGTCACATAAAAGCATTCAGGCATGCATGGTCTCCCAAAGGCTAATGATTAAGCTGTCAATTAGGCCCTTATTAAAACTTGAAATAAAACCAAACTAAAACCCATGAATTGATTAACTCGTAACATAATTTAGTCAACTAATTTTATAAAGGATTTGACCATTAATTAAACAAACTAATTACTTAAAAATGGGCACATTCCCATCATTAGTTGGATTCACATAACCCTCTGAAATTGGTGGTGACATGGTCATGTCCAGTTTATCTCTTAACAAGTTGAATCTTGTATCAGTGAGAGGTTTAGTCAAATAGTCTACAAAAACATAGGGCACAATTACTTCATTTTATAAGACTTAATCACGTATGTAGTGCAATCTATCTTAATGTGTTTGAATCGTGTGTGTATGACTGGATTAAAAGCAATTGACTTATCACACTACAAAATTGATTTTCTAAGCATTGGTAGTTTTATTTTTGTCAGCAGATATTTAATTCAAGATACTTCAGCTGCAAGGTCAGTCAAGGCTCTGTATTCTAATTTTGTGCTTGATCATACATTACCTTTTATTTTCTTGAAAACTAAGGAATAAAAGTTTCTCCAAGAAACACATTGTTCATCCCAAAGTTGTTTAGATGTTTCATAATGAAGTAAGGTTACAATGTCAATTGACATAGAATCCATCAGTCATCCCCATAACTAGGATTGACTTTTGTTGTCTTGCTATCCACATTCATGAATTGGTCAAGACACTCTATTGTTCCTAGCACATAGTTATTAAGTTTGTAGTCTCTAATAATTGGCAATACTAGAGATTTTCATAATGGATAATTGTCTTTGTCCAACTTAATAGAGATTTTAAATGTGAGGTCATTTTTTTGGTTGACAATGGATGACATGATTATAATGGTTATAGATAAAAAAACTCTGATACCAAAATAGAAAAAATGTATTAAATCGTCTTATTTGTATTAATAATGTATGTGTTTAATATAGACATGCATTTGTAGTATATATATGATATGTAAATATCATATATATACGCTTATTTCAAAGACATGTATCTAGATAATTGAGTCTAGTGTCAAGTATTTATGTGAATATATGATATGTTGTAGGTTATACATTGTTTAGTTAATAAATTGGTATATTATGATTATTTTAGATCAAATCTTTTACACATTAGCTTATTGTTTTACTCTTTTGTGCTTTGTTGTATTTTTGCGATGATTACTTTAGTGTGTGAGTAGATGTTAAGATAGACGAAAATATGTCCAAGGCAAAGAAATGAAAATTCTTTCTCTGTGATAAATTCACGTAATTTTCAATACATGCACATATAATATATTATCATGACAGATTATGAATAAGTGTATTAATATCTTTTAAGTTTTTAACTATTTATTTTAATTTTATTAATTTTTTAAAATGTTTTATTTATTAGTTTAGGAATGTTACACATGAGACATTTTTAACATAATTATATATGAATGAAATCAGTTAATTTAATTTATTTTGATTTTTTTAAAATATTACTAATGCATTAAACTAATTTCTATCATTTATAGTTTTTAAAATTATTTTTCACTTACCGTTATTTAAAATACAACATCCATAATATATGACAGATAAATTATAATAATTGAATGTAGATAGTATATATTTATTTTACAAAAACCAAATAAGTTCTTTTACCCTAATATGACTCTTAGGTTATTTGATTTACATGTTATAGTTTGAAAAACAATATATATATATATATATATATATATATATATATATATATATGGGGTTTGCTAACACATACTTAAGCTCTTTTTTAGCAAAGTGTATCGGGTTTTAGTAGACATGCCCTTTTAAGGTCAATGGTATTTGAATAATTTTCATTCTCAAAACTAAAAAAAATAAAAACTAAACCTCTAAACCCTTATTCACCATCTCTCATCCCTCATTCTTTTCAACCTTTTTTTTTTTCATCTCTCTCACTTTAACCTTCTCTCTATCATGCCTACAATAGTCTTAACTGAAAAAAATCAGAAATACTAATCTACCTTCCTCGCTCATCCAAATTGTTTCTCTCTCATCTCCCTCATCTCTCTCACCCACATACAGTAACCTGCGACACCGCAATTTATTGCTCTTACTCTGTTCGATCATTTGTTTTCTACTCTAATAACAAAATAATTGATGATGTTGATGTTGATTTTTTATTAGAGGGTTGTGTTATATATTTTTTCTTCTGATTATTATTAAATTTGGTTAAAAGAGATGTTTGAGAGAAAATGTTGGAGTGAGAGAAATGAAAGAAGAAGGGTGGAGATAAATGAGGGATTTCTTATTTTTTTTTAGTTTTGAAAATGAAAATTATTCAAATATCATTGACCTTAAAACTTAGAATACATAATATATAAGTATATTTTTGTCTACTAAAACTCGATACACTTTAATAAAATGTACCAACTAAAAGAAGAGTTACATATGTTAACAAACTTATTAGTTGACAAAAACACCATCATATATTATGGATTCTAAGTTTTAAGATTAAGGATATTTAAATAATTTCTGATTTTTTATTTTTTATTATAATTAAAAATAATTAAAATAACTTGTGTTTAAAGTATGTCTTTTTCTTTATGAATATAAATTTTCTTGTCAATTAAAATTTAGTACACTTTTTTAACAAACTCATATATATATATATATATATATATATATATATATATATTTTTGTTTAAACACTTCCTTCTACTTTTCAATTTAAAACTGTGTGAAAACTTTTTTTTTTATCATTTTTCCCAGTCTTTTTTAAATTTAACCAATTTAATAAATAGCTTGATGCGTCTTGCTTGTTAATATCCTTAATAATAGAAAAATTACGAAGATTACATTAAAATGTATTTGAAATTACAATGTAGTAATATTCGTTAAAAGAAAATTCTCATTCTCCATTCTTTAAATAGTATTTTAAAACACTGTTTAACCCTTGCGTACTTTATTTCTATAGTGAAAATCAAATATATTTTAAATTTGTGAAAAATAATTGGTTTTTAATTCTGGTTACTGTATATATTTTTATTTGTTTTTAGTTTTCAAAAAATTAAATTTCTTTAACTGTTTGTTATAATTTGATACGATACTGATTGAATGGTTATTATATTTTTAAAAAGGTAAAGTAATTGTTCTATTAGACACATTGTAATATATGAAATTTAAAAAGAAATTAATAAAATTTATAGGATAAATGTTATTTGTACATCTGAAATTGAATACTAGAGACTTGAAAATAAGGAATTGAAATTTTAGAAAATTACAAATCAAATGAACTCTTTTTCTATACTATAACAAAAATTCATACATTTTATAAAAAATAGAAATAAAAACTTTTTAATATTAAGTTAACTAAAACACATTTAAATTAAAAATTAATTATTCCAAATTGTGAATTGTGGAGTTGTAAAATATTTTTCTTCAAAATAATACTATAACTGAGAACATGCTCACAGTAAAAAAAATGAAATTAATCTTAAAGAGTAGAGAATGAATTAAGAACTAATTCCTACAATTGTAGATTGGTGAAGCAATTTTTTGGCAACAAGTTATTACTTTGAAAACTGAATCAACTCAAAATGTTCATATAAAAGGGCAAAATCATTTGAATTTTTCAAATAAACTCTGCCGACACGTGACGATGCTGCAAACCGCGTTTTAAATAAAGACATGTGGCTACCCAATGTTAAATAAAATAACCCAAAAATTTGCCACACATAATTTTGCTTTAGCAGCCTTGGCTTTTCTTTTCTTGTCTTCAATTATTACACTAAAGAAGATTATACGTCATTTTTCATTAATATACATTTACTCAACAATTCTAACTTTTTTTAATATATTTTTTATAAAATATTCAACCGTTTATATAATATAAGTTTGTCAATAAAAAATAATTAGTTGCATAGCTTAAGTTATCAATAATTCAATAAAGCTCATTTCGTGAATCGAGCTTAATGTTTTGCATTAGGTATAATAAAGACTATACAATTTTTCATTCAAATTTTTTTGATAAAGATCTTAAATCCTTCGTAACAAAGTTTTGTTAAATATATTAATATGATCATAAAATTATGTAAAAAATTATTATATTACAATCTTCAAGTTTAAGTTAAGGTTTTCTCTCAAATATGTTTTTGCAACCGTTTCATCGATAGAGATAGAGGGTGTTACACGCAGAAACTACTCCAATGCTAAATTTAGTGTTTATCTGATAAGACTAGTAATAAATGTATAATAATTAACTACCTCAATATCAAACCTATATTTATAAATTTTGGGATGAACTTTTGAGTAGTGTTAACCTAATTATGATAAAAAAGATAATGATTTAATTTAGAATTAATATAATTAATTTTGATGTTAATCCTATTTATAATCTGATTGATAGATGGATTCACATATAGAATTATATGTTGGTTGACTAACCGGACAATTATATTAGAGTTTTAAAATTAAACAATGCATATTTAAATCACCAACTAAGAGACAAGAAAATAACATCAAGGTGTAACGTTATAAAATCAGTAAAGAATAATGAAGAAGCATAGTTTTTTATACTTGTAAAAGTAATATTTATTGTATGAATGATATTAAATTAAAGTTTAGTTGTAATAACTAAATTTTTATAATATTATAATATTAATTTTCACATAATTAGAATCACATTAAGTTAGTATTTAATTATAATAATAAAACTAACCCCTTAATTTAAAAAAAAACAAAATATAACTAAAACTATAAAGATGTGAATCTCGTAAAACCTCATAATTAAAACAAAATTTGAAACGACCCAAAAAAACAACACATTCAGTTATATTAAAATTGCTTTAAGGAATTTAACTATATAAATTGTGCAAATTACGTTTCATATTTACGAATTATTACAAGTTATACTCTAATTTTATTCATAGTCTAAAAGTTTCAAGCTTTAATTCATTCAAACAGATAAAGACGTGTTTGAACAAACATTTTTTAATTCAGTAATTATTTAATAAGCCGAAATGAAATAAAATGCTCTTTCTAAGACTGTGAAACTTATTAGTTATAGAAGTTATAAAATAAAAAGTTAAATATACTTTCAAACTTTTAGTAAAAGTTGAAAATAATTCATTTTTAAACTTTAAACTAATTTAATTCTCCATCTTTAAAACTGGATTAATTTAATTTTTAACTAAATTTTATTAAGTTCATTTAAGATTTCAAATTCGTCACAGTATTGAAAAAAAAATTCATCAAAACTTAAATATTATAATGAAATATGTTTGAAACATCAAATTTTGATTAAAATAACTAAATTTACATATTTCAAAAATTGAGAAATTAAATTGAATCAAAATTTTAAAAATAAACTAATTTTAATTTTGACTGAAATTTAAAAAATTAAAAACATGTTTAATCCTAAGATAGATTAGATAAGAAGCAAAAGGCTCTAAGTGCCAGAATTATAATCTAGAATAGTCTTAGTCTGCATAAGAGGCAAAATAAAATTTATACAAGGCACCAACATCCAAATACGTTATGCAAACAAATGAATGGGTCCTTGATATTATATAAGCCTTAACTAGGCCTACAAATCATATTTGTCGGTCTCATATAGCCTAAAATATATCATCTACATGATGACATGACATTATTAGAGGTTGATAACAGATAACAGATATATCTAATAATAATCACAATATACATAAACACAATCCATACACTACAGTTTAGGAGGATCAAAAGCAAATACAGACCCCATACTGAACTGCTATCTGACTACTTCAACTAACTGATGGGCGAGGCAGTCTTTTTGCAATTTCCTGTCAAAACCAATGTTTTAATGGTTAAGCCTAATTGGTAATGCACAAAAGGATGTATGATATTAACAATGATATCTCAAAATGAAGGGTTGTAGACAAATGATGAACAAAACATCAACTCAAGGCAAGACATCATAGTAAATAGAGCAATCCACCAAAACAAAAGGGAGGAAAACTGCACCGACAGGTCCTTTATCTACCATATAAGTTTTCTAATAAATGTCAACATTTAAGCTATGATGTCTATTGCATATATAAGATAGTAAGCATCCACGTCTTCAGTGTATTTACCAAGAGAGAACAGACTTGATCCAGGTGCTGCAGGTTAAGTGATACCAAGTCTGATTTAGGAGACTACTACCAGATTCATGATTCAATCTTAGCCTGGTTACTTTTTGCCTACATTTTAGCCTACAGATCTCCTTTTAAACCTCAAAAAAGAGAAATGGAAAACTAGTTAATCAGAACTCCAAACTGAAATCAAGATTAAAACTCAAGCTTTGGTTGATACTGTAATTCTCATGTTAGGCTATATGAACAAAGTTTTAAAATAAACACCTCTTGAATTGCATCAATAACACAATTAGTTAACTGATCTGGATCTAAAGTTATATCGCCTCAGTAGAGGCAGCGACCCAATTCTGGGGTCCCTCTCAACAAATTTCAGGTATTATATGTCAGATACAGCAAGTACTTTAGAAAAACACATCGATTTTTTTTTTTTATTAATAGTGTTGTTATTTTCATTTCAATGCAAACTGAACTTTTTATCTTAATATCTTCAGTTCATAATTAGCAGAGGCCGTGATCCTTTTCATATATAGGAGGCTGCCTAGAAGTTAGTGCTTTCTGGCAAGATTGTTGAACTTCTCTACAAGATTGTGTAACCTCAAAATATAACCCTGGCCATTTTATTATGGTTTCTCTAACCTAAAATATTTTTTAGTAGTTAGCTCCCTTATGTATTCCAAGACCAAGATTATTACCTTTGATGGAAAAGATGCAATCTTGGATTTTGTAGGACGGAATTCCTATTTCAAGATCATCTTTAGCCCCTCCAATAGGTCTATATGAGTTTGTTACAAGTACAACTATCTTCAGGCAGCAAGAACATCAGGGGGAAGCTTGCTAGTGGCATAGTCAACAATGTCCTAAGAGACCAAAGATCACAGTTAAAGCCGAAAATTGACTACTAGCATAGCCTCTGGAAAATCCTAAAGATCTGCAAGTCAATATCAAACAGTATTCCTACACTTCCTAACACTTGATCATTACTTAAGCATCTTGTTGCCCGAGTGTACTGTAGAACTAAATTAAACAGATTAGACTTCAGATCAGATGACCAGCACCAAAACAAGATCACATATATTATTTTTGCACCTAATACTCAATCCAGAAAGGCATTGATTCTCAAATATTTTATGATACTTATTTTATGCTCAGAAGATAAAACTGCGAACATGGATATTCAATATAAGTAAAAAATAATTGCAGGAATACCCAAGGTAAGATGTGACCATGTCCAATCCTAATTGCCATACCAATTAAACAGCTAACAAGTTTCTACTGTTCATACATTCTAATCCTTGCCAAATACAAAATGAAATGACTAATTTTATAATCTAATAACCGGAAGAAAGTAAACACCAAGCGTACCTCAAACAGTTCATTTATATTATCTGCTGTCTTTGCAGATGTCTCTATGAAAAACATACCATTCTTCTCTGCATATTCAGTGCCATCCTTCATGAAAACATTAAAGTAAACTAGGTAAGAAACGAATTATTTTGTTTAAAGGACATCTGTATTATGGAGGAAGGTTGCAGTACCTGGACAGCAACTTCCCGCTTCTCTTGAAGATCAGCTTTATTACCGACCAGTGCCATCACTATATCAGGGCTTCCATGTTTTTGTAGCTCCTAAATTATCACTATTTCAGTTGCTAAAACAAAATAGAAAGAAATGTAGCTCCTAATAAAACAGCTCATAATCTAATGATTTTGTAATACGTAAGATATATATAACCGCATAATTGCAGTACATCAAAGAGTTGTCAAAAATCAGTATATCAAAGAGGCTATTTGCTGTGTTTTTTATTCTTCAGATAAATTTTCCAATGGAATGGAAATTTGGAGTGAAAATGTGCAGAACTAGATCTCAATGGAGAACCCAACATCAAGACTAGGAAAAGTTCAATACAATATTAGAAATGGTCAGCGTCTAACTCAATCCCAAAGCATCCTTCTAGTTGTTTGCAGAATTGAACATCCATGGACATACNATAGATTAGATAAGAAGCAAAAGGCTCTAAGTGCCAGAATTATAATCTAGAATAGTCTTAGTCTGCATAAGAGGCAAAATAAAATTTATACAAGGCACCAACATCCAAATACGTTATGCAAACAAATGAATGGGTCCTTGATATTATATAAGCCTTAACTAGGCCTACAAATCATATTTGTCGGTCTCATATAGCCTAAAATATATCATCTACATGATGACATGACATTATTAGAGGTTGATAACAGATAACAGATATATCTAATAATAATCACAATATACATAAACACAATCCATACACTACAGTTTAGGAGGATCAAAAGCAAATACAGACCCCATACTGAACTGCTATCTGACTACTTCAACTAACTGATGGGCGAGGCAGTCTTTTTGCAATTTCCTGTCAAAACCAATGTTTTAATGGTTAAGCCTAATTGGTAATGCACAAAAGGATGTATGATATTAACAATGATATCTCAAAATGAAGGGTTGTAGACAAATGATGAACAAAACATCAACTCAAGGCAAGACATCATAGTAAATAGAGCAATCCACCAAAACAAAAGGGAGGAAAACTGCACCGACAGGTCCTTTATCTACCATATAAGTTTTCTAATAAATGTCAACATTTAAGCTATGATGTCTATTGCATATATAAGATAGTAAGCATCCACGTCTTCAGTGTATTTACCAAGAGAGAACAGACTTGATCCAGGTGCTGCAGGTTAAGTGATACCAAGTCTGATTTAGGAGACTACTACCAGATTCATGATTCAATCTTAGCCTGGTTACTTTTTGCCTACATTTTAGCCTACAGACCTCCTTTTAAACCTCAAAAAAGAGAAATGGAAAACTAGTTAAGCAGAACTCCAAACTGAAATCAAGATTAAAACTCAAGCTTTGGTTGATACTGTAATTCTCATGTTAGGCTATATGAACAAAGTTTTAAAATAAACACCTCTTGAATTGCATCAATAACACAATTAGTTAACTGATCTGGATCTAAAGTTATATCGCCTCAGTAGAGGCAGCGACCCAATTCTGGGGTCCCTCTCAACAAATTTCAGGTATTATATGTCAGATACAGCAAGTACTTTAGAAAAACACTCGATTTTTTTTTTTTTTATTAATAGTGTTGTTATTTTCATTTCAATGCAAACTGAACTTTTTATCTTAATATCTTCAGTTCATAATTAGCAGAGGCCGTGATCCTTTTCATATATAGGAGGCTGCCTAGAAGTTAGTGCTTTCTGGCAAGATTGTTGAACTTCTCTACAAGTACCAATCTTGTGTAACCTCAAAATATAACCCTGGCCATTTTATTATGGTTTCTCTAACCTAAAATATTTTTTAGTAGTTAGCTCCCTTATGTATTCCAAGACCAAGATTATTACCTTTGATGGAAAAGATGCAATCTTGGATTTTGTAGGACGGAATTCCTATTTCAAGATCATCTTTAGCCCCTCCAATAGGTCTATATGAGTTTGTTACAAGTACAACTATCTTCAGGCAGCAAGAACATCAGGGGGAAGCTTGCTAGTGGCATAGTCAACAATGTCCTAAGAGACCAAAGATCACAGTTAAAGCCGAAAATTGACTACTAGCATAGCCTCTGGAAAATCCTAAAGATCTGCAAGTCAATATCAAACAGTATTCCTACACTTCCTAACACTTGATCATTACTTAAGCATCTTGTTGCCCGAGTGTACTGTAGAACTAAATTAAACAGATTAGACTTCAGATCAGATGACCAGCACCAAAACAAGATCACATATATTATTTTTGCACCTAATACTCAATCCAGAAAGGCATTGATTCTCAAATATTTTATGATACTTATTTTATGCTCAGAAGATAAAACTGCGAACATGGATATTCAATATAAGTAAAAAATAATTGCAGGAATACCCAAGGTAAGATGTGACCATGTCCAATCCTAATTGCCATACCAATTAAACAGCTAACAAGTTTCTACTGTTCATACATTCTAATCCTTGCCAAATACAAAATGAAATGACTAATTTTATAATCTAATAACCGGAAGAAAGTAAACACCAAGCGTACCTCAAACAGTTCATTTATATTATCTGCTGTCTTTGCAGATGTCTCTATGAAAAACATACCATTCTTCTCTGCATATTCAGTGCCATCCTTCATGAAAACATTAAAGTAAACTAGGTAAGAAACGAATTATTTTGTTTAAAGGACATCTGTATTATGGAGGAAGGTTGCAGTACCTGGACAGCAACTTCCCGCTTCTCTTGAAGATCAGCTTTATTACCGACCAGTGCCATCACTATATCAGGGCTTCCATGTTTTTGTAGCTCCTAAATTATCACTATTTCAGTTGCTAAAACAAAATAGAAAGAAATGTAGCTCCTAATAAAACAGCTCATAATCTAATGATTTTGTAATACGTAAGATATATATAACCGCATAATTGCAGTACATCAAAGAGTTGTCAAAAATCAGTATATCAAAGAGGCTATTTGCTGTGTTTTTTATTCTTCAGATAAATTTTCCAATGGAATGGAAATTTGGAGTGAAAATGTGCAGAACTAGATCTCAATGGAGAACCCAACATCAAGACTAGGAAAAGTTCAATACAATATTAGAAATGGTCAGCGTCTAACTCAATCCCAAAGCATCCTTCTAGTTGTTTNAATTTAATTCTCCATCTTTAAAACTGGATTAATTTAATTTTTAATTAAATTTTATTAAGTTCATTTAAGATTTCAAATTCGTCATAGTATTGAAAAAATAATTCATCAAAACTTAAATATTTTAATGAAATATGTTTGAAACATCAAATTTTGATTAAAATAACTAAATTTACATATTTCAAAAATTGAGAAATTAAATTTAATCAAAATTTTTAAAATAAACTAATTTTAATTTTGACTGAAATTTAAATAATTAAAAACATGTTTAATCCTAATATAGATTAGATAAGAAGCAAAAGGCTCTAAGTGCCAGAATTATAATCTAGAATAGTCTTAGTCTGCATAAGAGGCAAAATAAAATTTATACAAGGCACCAACATCCAAATACGTTATGCAAACAAATGAATGGTTCCTTGATATTATATAAGCCTTAACTAGGCCTACAAATCATATTTGTCGGTCTCATATAGCCTAAAATATATCATCTACATGATGACATGACATTATTAGAGGTTGATAACAGATAACAGATATATCTAATAATAATCACAATATACATAAACACAATCCATACACTACAGTTTAAGGAGGATCAAAAGCAAATACAGACCCCATACTGAACTGCTATCTGACTACTTCAACTAACTGATGGGCGAGGCAGTCTTTTTGCAATTTCCTGTCAAAACCAATGTTTTAATGGTTAAGCCTAATTGGTAATGCACAAAAGGATGTATGATATTAACAATGATATCTCAAAATGAAGGGTTGTAGACAAATGATGAACAAAACATCAACTCAAGGCAAGACATCATAGTAAATAGAGCAATCCACCAAAACAAAAGGGAGGAAAACTGCACCGACAGGTCCTTTATCTACCATATAAGTTTTCTAATAAATGTCAACATTTAAGCTATGATGTCTATTGCATATATAAGATAGTAAGCATCCACGTCTTCAGTGTATTTACCAAGAGAGAACAGACTTGATCCAGGTGCTGCAGGTTAAGTGATACCAAGTCTGATTTAGGAGACTACTACCAGATTCATGATTCAATCTTAGCCTGGTTACTTTTTGCCTACATTTTAGCCTACAGATCTCCTTTTAAACCTCAAAAAAGAGAAATGGAAAACTAGTTAATCAGAACTCCAAACTGAAATCAAGATTAAAACTCAAGGTTTGGTTGATACTGTAATTCTCATGTTAGGCTATATGAACAAAGTTTTAAAATAAACACCTCTTGAATTGCATCAATAACACAATTAGTTAACTGATCTGGATCTAAAGTTATATCGCCTCAGAGTAGAGGCAGCGACCCAATTCTGGGGTCCCTCTCAACAAATTTCAGGTATTATATGTCAGATACAGCAAGTACTTTAGAAAAACACTCGATTTTTTTTTTTTTTATTAATAGTGTTGTTATTTTCATTTCAATGCAAACTGAACTTTTTATCTTAATATCTTCAGTTCATAATTAGCAGAGGCCGTGATCCTTTTCATATATAGGAGGCTGCCTAGAAGTTAGTGCTTTCTGGCAAGATTGTTGAACTTCTCTACAAGATTGTGTAACCTCAAAATATAACCCTGGCCATTTTATTATGGTTTCTCTAACCTAAAATATTTTTTAGTAGTTAGCTCCCTTATGTATTCCAAGACCAAGATTATTACCTTTGATGGAAAAGATGCAATCTTGGATTTTGTAGGACGGAATTCCTATTTCAAGATCATCTTTAGCCCCTCCAATAGGTCTATATGAGTTTGTTACAAGTACAACTATCTTCAGGCAGCAAGAACATCAGGGGGAAGCTTGCTAGTGGCATAGTCAACAATGTCCTAAGAGACCAAAGATCACAGTTAAAGCCGAAAATTGACTACTAGCATAGCCTCTGGAAAATCCTAAAGATCTGCAAGTCAATATCAAACAGTATTCCTACACTTCCTAACACTTGATCATTACTTAAGCATCTTGTTGCCCGAGTGTACTGTAGAACTAAATTAAACAGATTAGACTTCAGATCAGATGACCAGCACCAAAACAAGATCACATATATTATTTTTGCACCTAATACTCAATCCAGAAAGGCATTGATTCTCAAATATTTTATGATACTTATTTTATGCTCAGAAGATAAAACTGCGAACATGGATATTCAATATAAGTAAAAAATAATTGCAGGAATACCCAAGGTAAGATGTGACCATGTCCAATCCTAATTGCCATACCAATTAAACAGCTAACAAGTTTCTACTGTTCATACATTCTAATCCTTGCCAAATACAAAATGAAATGACTAATTTTATAATCTAATAACCGGAAGAAAGTAAACACCAAGCGTACCTCAAACAGTTCATTTATATTATCTGCTGTCTTTGCAGATGTCTCTATGAAAAACATACCATTCTTCTCTGCATATTCAGTGCCATCCTTCATGAAAACATTAAAGTAAACTAGGTAAGAAACGAATTATTTTGTTTAAAGGACATCTGTATTATGGAGGAAGGTTGCAGTACCTGGACAGCAACTTCCCGCTTCTCTTGAAGATCAGCTTTATTACCGACCAGTGCCATCACTATATCAGGGCTTCCATGTTTTTGTAGCTCCTAAATTATCACTATTTCAGTTGCTAAAACAAAATAGAAAGAAATGTAGCTCCTAATAAAACAGCTCATAATCTAATGATTTTGTAATACGTAAGATATATATAACCGCATAATTGCAGTACATCAAAGAGTTGTCAAAAATCAGTATATCAAAGAGGCTATTTGCTGTGTTTTTTATTCTTCAGATAAATTTTCCAATGGAATGGAAATTTGGAGTGAAAATGTGCAGAACTAGATCTCAATGGAGAACCCAACATCAAGACTAGGAAAAGTTCAATACAATATTAGAAATGGTCAGCGTCTAACTCAATCCCAAAGCATCCTTCTAGTTGTTTGCAGAATTGAACATCCATGGACATACACCTCACCCACCTCAAGTGTCCACCACGTTTGAAGATACCAAACTTCCTCTGAACACTTCTATACCATTAATGTATTCTTCTGAGCAAAAGTAATGCAGGTTTACCGCGTGTTTCAATCTTTTTCATTTTTATATGCCTGTTGCTTTATCCTTCAAATTTTCAAACAATTTGTCTGCTCTGAAAGCAAAAGACAAGCCACCACAATTGAAGGTATCATAACTTCATCACACATTCCACTCATTCTCTTTCCTTATCTCTAATCTACCAATATAAAACCTTGCAGTACAAGCAGGCTTTCAATTGTTGCACATCCTAGCTTACATAATCATCACC